TATTAGAAACGTTATTTCAACATGGTTAATTTTTAATAACAAAGTATATAATTTCATTGTCATTTACAGCATCAGTATGTAAGACTCATAAATAACATACAATACAAACTACATGGCATGTTAAATATACAGTGTCAACATAGCTTGTGCGTAATTTTTATTTATTGCTTTGTATGTCAGCAAAACATAAATCTGCTTGTGAGGTATTTTCAATTCAAAGAATGGAAGACAGTCAACTTTACAATAACACAATAAATCACACATCTGTTAAAATACAACCCCTTCTTCAGTTGCAGCAGCAAACAATGGACATTCAGTTATTGTCATTATTTAAACATTAACAGTCTATAGCAAAAGCCATTGTTCTAGTGTACCAAGTAAACCGCTACAGGAATTGCAATATATTGACTACCTTCATAGTAACTTCACACATTTCCCATTTGATCTCCTTATTGGCTTCCCTCTAAGCACCATTGACAGATAATTGACATTAGGCAGAAATGGCATATAATCATTACTCACATGTGTCCAAAATAGGAAAAGAAAATACCATAACACAATACATTTGTGCATATCAATACTTTCAGGCCTGTTAATGTTTAATATAGTGCCTAAAATCAATCATCTTATTGTACCTTTTTTAACAAAACCTTATTTATAGTCCTGCTCAATCATTTAATCAAGATTTTGGTAATCTAAAGCATTCTATTACGCAAGTAAAGGGAAATCAATGCAAACAGTACATAATCATGCAGCAAGTAAACATATCTTATTACAGAGGTACTTTAAATAGCACACAATTCTAGATCCCAGTTCTACAATGGAATCCTTGGGCTATGACAGTATGAATTACGTTTATGCATAAGTGTTGGGACAGTCATAATACTTTCACAAAAGTTTAGCTCCTGTTCCCTAAGACTTCATGATGCCAATATTTTTGATGTACCTGAATCATAAACATGTTTTTCCCCTCAGAACTCTTTTGACAAACATTGATCCAAGCCTGAACTCTGCTATAGAAATTGACAAACAATCACCTCAAGACCACGGTAATTCTTGGATTGTGCCACAATATTTTGCTGAAGGGCAATGTTGTATCTTAAATAGCAGCTCATGTAGTGTAAATGACATTACTGACGCCAGCAGGCATGAATACGTTCATGTTTACCACAGTGAGTGTGTTCTGTCATCATATCCATGATAATCCAAGACTCGCTAAAATGGTTTTCATTGCAATAACTTGTTCATCATTTAGATTGATCAACTCCTGACAATGTATTACAATCAGAGAGTGTAGATGATTTACTCATATGACCTCTGACCAATGATTCACAAATCCATATTTACTTTGTCTTCTATTTCATTACACATGATACTAAAAGCTATATGTCAGGCTGAAAAGTGCACATGCAACATTCTTTGGAAAAGGATTGGCTTTTTTGCCCAAGATGAATTTAGACCATCTGAGAATTCAAAGGTCTGTCTGTTTTATACAGAATGTGCTCAAATGTGACATTAAACTTGTTGTGTTAACAGTATTGATTAGAACTTTTCAACCTTCAGACAAACCAATATTTTAATGGTATCCAATGATTATCAACAATATGTACCATGTGTGACCTTGGGCAGTACATTGTATGGTACAGCTGTTGTGTGTGCAAAAGAGCCCATTGGGCTGGTTACATGGGAACAAAATGTCTCAAGGTCAAAATGAGAATCTGAAGTTATGCGAGTGAGTTAATTCGGTTTTCCACTGCCTCTTGCAAGTCAAAATAAGAGAACAATCAGTCTCGATTATTTTCAAATATAGATTCCAGAGGCCATAAATGGAAAAAGTGACGAAAGTTGTAATTGTATGGATCACTGAAAATCAGGGATGACACAGGGTGTTCGATAAAAGGGTGAACATGTCCTGCTCTACTGGTAGCACAGATGAAACGCCATGTAAATATCATAGTATGGGATAACAGCACATCATGTTGCCAATGGATGTGTCATATCTAGTAAATTACCAGTAAAACTTAATATGACTAAGACTTCAAAAAGTTGTTTGAATTTTCCTTAAAATCTGTTTGGTCTAGTAAGCTCAGCTAATAATAGTTTATATTCTAACACTGAAATCACTGAAAATGGTGCTTAGAACGAGGTGTGTGTAATAGAATTTTTAACAGAAACGTTTTCAGCGCAGACTGTAATAACCATGTCATATCAATGAGGGTCACAAAGTTTATTTGTTTTTCTTGCTTTAAGCCACACTCAGCATTCCAGCTGTGTGACAGTCAGGTCAGCCTTGCCACCCTACACATTAAGTCACCTCTTACAACAAGCATAGGTTGCTATGAACCAATTCTTATCCTGAATCCCCATGGGGACTCAAGAAAGGGCATCCAACATTGTACACATGTATTTTCAGTTGAAAACTTGACATGCTTTTGCTTGTATTTGTGATCAGTGGCAATCTTTTTTGCAAACACCTGGTATCATCCCTATTGCGTAGTGATTCATGATAAAGTCAGAATCATACAAAGGTCTCTGCTTTTAGTAGAGATTTCTTATTATTATGGAAAGGGTATTGTTGCGTATATCATTATCATGATTATGAAAAAGGTTCTGTCACTTTTATTCATAAATTATTCTGATGAAACATATGCCAGTTATGCCACACTACAAACTGCTACATATATAAGCAGCACTTGCCAAGTGGTATAAAAATAAATTTGTAAACTTTCTTATTGTATGTGCAAGTTCACAAGCCATTGATAGTTTGATTTTCTCAGGTTTAATGTTTTAGCTAGGCCACTTGTCAATGCCATCGATGATGGAATACAAATATTATTTGAGATACACATCACTCATCCTAACCTGCAAGCACATGACAGGAGTTGAGTACATGAAAAGACTTTCTATAGTTGCATGCACAGAGCATCTGAATCATTCAAAACTGAGCCTTGTAATCCTTAGAAGCATAATAACACTTCAGCAGGATTAATACGGCTAATGCTACATATATTTTATAAATGAAAATGTAATGGTATTATTTTCAATAGCCTCAAACCTCTTTAGTATCAAGTGTGAAAAACAAGTGCATTATTTCAGTAAGATCACATACAAAAATGATGTGGAAGACTTCAGTAACATACCTATCAGTTCGATGACCCCAATATTTTCATCAATGATTATACCACATATTGCACAACTTTTTCAAGTAAATGGGCACCCATTTTAAAGCCATTACAATCATTACTTGTGCGGAAAAGGCACAAGAGTAACGGCTATGAAATGAAACACAGAAAGAGCACTATGATCTCACAAAAGCTGGTCATGCCAATAGATTTCATAATGTGCTTCATATGGCCATTGAAACAGTACTTTACTCATGTGTTTAGTTCATATCCTGCAAGCAAATGTTGATGTGGAAGGAGGCATGTTCATGCAGGCAAATGTAACTGTCTCTCATAATGTTGGCCAGTAGACAACACCCCAACTAATGGCATAGCAATTCTGTTATTTGTCATATAAGAGGCCCATTTGGAAAGTTTGAAGGGTTACATATCATGAAGTACAACCACTGCAGCTCATTCCCTGTCAATGGAAAAAGCATTTGTTTTTATTGGACTTTCACAGAAATTGCTGTCATTTATATGAAGGTGCCATTAATTGACAATATACGTCCAATGACACAAGCCTTGAGTACAATAAAAAGCTTCTTGACGAAGTAATGATGAGACATAACTTCTGTCTTAGTAACATTTTCCCTTGCTATTATATGTGTTGGAGTGTGTTGTGTTTAACGTCGCTTTGAACAGTAATCCAGTTGTATTGTATCACATGTCAGCTTAATGTGGGAGGAAAACCCGAAGTGATGCAGGTCTCAGACGTTTACCACTTCAGTGAAACTCACGAACATGGGTATTGCACTGACAAACCCAGAAACATAAGCAGGGCGAACCAAGATTTGAACCATTTGACCCATTAAACCAATGGCTGATACCAATGGCTGACCAAATCATGGCCACACACCCTCACACATAATAACCAATTAATTCCTGTACATATTATCACATCCCAATGATAGCTGTTAAATAGAAATATAGATCTTGTTTAACTAGCCCTTCACATTTATGTCCTGGAAAACTGAAAACATTCTCAGTACACACATTGTTATAGTCAATATACATGTCACAACCAGGTCTATATATTACTCTTGAGCACATAAATAACCATATTCAAACAAATTGTAAAGGTAACGGATGCATATTGTCCATATATTACTATGAAATGTAATAAATATTTATTGACCACCTACTTTGCCTGAACAATGTAATTATAGCTCATGTAGCATGGCAATCTGTTCTTCTGTTTAGTGTGTTTACACAAAAATTAATCTATTCAAAATGATTGCACTTATGCATTAATCATACAAATACAAAGATTGCCGAGACAGACTGAGACTAAAATTGATTTTTACTTCAATTTAAAAACTGTAATGACTTTTAAATCAGAATAAGAAAGTAATCACTGTACTAATACTTGCATTCCTTCCTTTGGATATAGTGATTGCGCTTAAGACAAAAACTTAACATGGCTTTCAGAAAAGAAGGTTTGAAAAAATAAATGACTATGCCAGTTTTCAATAGCATTTTCTTTTAGCCATAAATCCAAAACAAAACTTACCTACTGTTTAACAATTAAGTTTATTTTTTTCATCCTGGAAGATGTCATGTCTATAACAATGACCAAGCAACATGTGAGATGACTACCCATAGAAGTAACTGACAGAAACCAAGGGGGACTAATATCTGAATATCTAAGGACCTCTTGTAAATCTTTGGTTCTTAACATTAGATTCATGACAATTACCCACTGACTTTCACACTTGGTCTCAAAACACTGCAAAAGCAGTGAATCATACTTTGTATATAGCTTCCTCTATTTGCTATCCTTCTCATGAACATTAGTCTTTCTGCAGTTATATGTGACAGCAAAGATAAAAAACTTACCTGTTGATGAAAGTAGTGGGTTGAGGAAGAAATGGAGAGCTCCCAAAAGAATATGTACATTCCAGAAAGTTGGCAGCCTCATGCTTGGTACAGTCGACAACAGGCTTTAGCAATACATATACACAAGGTAGATTGGTTTCGTAGATCCATGAGGGGCTTACACACAAAGCATGTGTCACCAGCAGTCTGTGCACCAATACAATATCACAGGATATATCAAAACACGTCACACAAAATCTGTATTTCCAAACTAATACTTTAAATTGTGTTCATCAGAGCTTGATCCAGAACTTCATCCATATCAAACACTGCTCAGGTGCTACATTTTGTGCAATAAGATCAAGGATGACTAATCACACACTATAACATAAACAGGTTGTGTCTATTCTCTCAAAGTTAAAACATATCACAGAGGATAAACCAAAATCATCCTATTTCCAAAACATAGCTTAAGCTGATCAAAACTTGATCTAAAGATTTGAGTTTTGGTAGCAAAATCAAGAAATGTAAATTATAAGCAGCATCTGAAATTCACATTACAACAACAGTTTTAACATGGAAGATCTGTTGGTGTAAAGCTATAAAATTAATAGCTTGTACCAAGAAAAACTAAAACATAATCATCCAAACTTATTTTTCTGCATTAAGATAATCAAAACATAAGTTCATAACCTTTTTCTTAATAGTGATGAATTTTCAAGATAGGAAACAGATCAGCAGAAGACTAATCAATTTTGGTGTAGAAATCAAATGTTTGAAACTTGCAGGGGTGATTCAAGATTGTGAACTTCCACATCAATCATTAGGGGTTTAGTTATTCCAATCTGTGATTTCTCTCATCAAACTTGAGTCGCTTTTCGCTGATAGGTGCGTGACTTCATTCCATGATATTATTGACTTCTGGGTTGAAGTTTGCTTGAATCTGTTCCGTGTTGGATTAGGCACATCCCACAGCATGACCTTAGAACCAGGTTTTCCTTTAGTAATTCCACACACCCATTCCACAGTTCAATACATCCAAGTCTGTTTTTTTGTGTATGTGAATGTCACAGTACACCAAAAGCCTGTTGCAGGATGGCTGGTTACAGTACCAATGTGATAAGAACCCTGTAACAGAAGAGAAGGAACTTTCATAAATAATCAGGTGTTGTGCTCCGTGATAGGATTTACGATTTCGACCCTTTGATGTTTATCAAGAGTATTGACACAACATGTAGCGTGCAGCAGGTACGATATCTCGTAAACTCTCTCTGGAGGATAAAGGTGGGGGAGATACTGTAGTGTGATCAGTGTTATATGAAGCAATCGGCCACACGCCTGGTCGTTGACAAACGTTCCAATTGGATTTAACGACACGGCATATTCACCTGCCTGGCCCTGGCATTGTGGCTGGGCACGAGACTACTACCTGAAAAGTTTAGTCACTCAATAATTAGTCATGGAACTTGCCACAGCTTAACACTGTGATATAGAAAGAATAAATTATTAATATGAGTTTGTCATACTCAATAGTCAGACCCTAACTCAACAATGACGAAGAGCATAGAGGTCCCAAGAATTGATTACAAAGAATTGGATGTGGGGAGCTAAGAGTGATTCACATTTAGCTGATTGAAGGGCTTGCTGCTCAGTTCAACAGTAATTACTATTGTTAGCTAATGAATGAAAAGTGCTATGTTAAGTGCTATTCCCATAAAACCATATCTCATATTGACTGTAATGATGCTTTTAAAACACTAAAAAAATTAATAGAATTTCACACATAATTTTTTATTGCCACTTTCTATCTAGTAACAGGAATGATAATTTTGAAAAATCACACCATAACATTTTATTATTCATATGGTCATATGCCTTTACACGCCAAAGATGACATCATAGGGAATTTACTACAATTCAATTATCTATTCATAACGTAGATTCCTTTGTTGAGAATGTTGAGGTGTAAGTTGTATGCAGTGTTCAACTGGAGCTATGCATAATGGATTACAAACACTACATTTAACAAAACATCTCTCAAACTAATTCGAAATCTGTCCGATTCTCAGACAGGTATAAAAAGATCATGCACCACCTGTTCCCAGTGTAAATGTTCAATTAGTAGGGTTATGTGAGCTGACCTGACTTCAAAACACCCTCCATTTGTTTGACTCATACACATTCCAGTGCAAGAGATCTCAGTTGCCAATTTGTAAATGTTTCTGAGGTAAGGCAGTTTGAATTGGATGTATTACAACAAGGTATTGAGACCATCATAGTGCCTGAGTACTTTGCTTTCATCTGAGTGAAAGCAGTGTGTTTGGCCTGTCCTGTATGGCCGATTTTCACCCTCCCTTCTTGTCTATCAAACCATGGCTGGTCGCCAGATTACAAGTAACTGACAATGCATATGTCAGGTTCTCTTTCACATCCTCTCTTTGCTGGAGGCCTACCTCAAAGCCAAAGTATTTTCGAAACCAAGATATTTAAAGTCAGTCCCTATGGAATGATTTGTACAAAGGAATAAAACATACACCTTTAAGAAAAGATCCACCAACATATAGTTAATGTGTTGATCATGGTGGTTAGAATGCACATGGGATTAACATTTTAGTAGAGTCTTCTTTGATCATGTTTGATTAGTTTTAGAATAACAATATGTGATTAGCAAGTATAGTGGAACTTGTGGTCTGCATCATTTCATACAGCTGCTGTTGGTAAACAATAAATAAGTCTCATCAACACGTGCCAAGAATACTAATTCTGACCAACTGAAATGTAGTTGGAGGCCTCAATCTGTCACATTTTGACACAGTTCCTTTCAATCCAAATAGGCCATGAACTCATACATCGATATCTAACATTAGGAAATAGCTGAATCTGGGGCAGACAAACAATTTTCTCATTTAATATTTGACATGAAAACACTAGACAAGAGAAATTAAATGTTTGAGTTCTGTCCATAAATGTGAATCATAAGGTGACTACTATGATATATCCACATATGGAGACTACTATGATATATCCACATGAAGTACTACTATGATATATCCACATAAGGTACTATGAATATTGATATATCCACATAAGGTGACTACTATGATATATTCACATAAAGTACTATGATATATCCACATAAGGTACTATGAATATTGATATATCCACATAAAGTACTTTGAATATTGATATATCCACATAAGGTGACTACTATGATATATCCACATAAGGTACTATGAATATTGATATATCCATAGTAGTAATAGAATATTGATTTATCCACATAAAGTACTACTATGATATATCAGCATAAGGTACTATGAATATTGATATATCCACATAAGGTGAATACTATGATATATCCACATAGGATACTACTATGATATATCCACATAGGGTACTTAACTATCACATATCCACATAAGGTACTACTGTGATATATCCACATAAGGTACATAATGAATATTGATATATCCACATAAGGTACTATTATGACATATTATGTCAGTTACATTTGTAACAGACAGGTGATAACCTTGATTCATTCAGCGACAACATTAGCACATGTTTATTCAGTTATTTCGACTCACAACCATGTATGTGCAGTTAGTGATTAACTTGATCTAACTTTATCTGTATATATTAATGAATCTTTCAATTTTGGTGTCAATCTTTTCAACTTAATATGGTTTAGATATGTCTTAATTAATTTCCTTACAAAACTTTCTTGCTTGAGAATTGACAGTTGACATATTACTAATGTCAGGTAAAACAACTTGATTAGAGAGGCAATAAGTCATCGAAGTTTTAAATTCTTGTTAGATATGGTTCCAAACTATTTATCATACTATGATGAACAGGTATACACATATTTGATCATAACTGCAATGTATATTTTACCTCCTGCCTAATATATCAGGGACCAGGCTCCGGTGTTCGTACTGAAAACATCATGATGTTGTTTATTATTTGTCATCATCCTAAAGCTGGAGAAATACTGTCTGTTAAGCATTACATGTTCTTAAAACCTCATCTCTTATATCATCATACAGACTATATTTCAACAGCACATGCTTTTTCTTTTCAATTTCTATCCTGGTATAGGATACATAATCTGTTCACATTGGCATGCAGACTATGGAGATATAGATAAATCACCAACTCCATCACTTGTATACAACTTACACGTTTATATATCTTGATTGCATATATATTTAAGAGCAAGAGATGGTTACGAGTTACCAAAAACAAATGTAAACAAAAACATTTACACAAGAAAGGAAAGCAAATGGTTCTGTCATCCGATTCCCATATCAATAAATTAAGACAAACAACAAAGTGACACTTCTATTCCACACTCATGTGCTTTACCTGCCTATCCCTAGGAAAGTGCACCGATCTGACTAGGGTATCGTTATTCCCTGTGTTGCCTTCTACATGGCCAAGCATCCAGGCATAACAGTCCTCAGGGAGCTGGCACATCTGACACTAAAGTAAGGCCTGCTGAGGCCAAGTGATACCACCATGTAAAATACCTGGAGTATGTCTGGGGGAATACAAGCTAATGCACATACCTGCCTCCTGACAAATACCATGGCAGGTGTGATAAACCCTTCAATATACACCTACCTTCAGTGTGAAATACTTCTCGTAACATCATGGCTTGTACTACACAGCAGTGTGTATGGTGAATAATTATGCACAAAGCCAGGGTGAAATGAGACCTCACTGAATAAAGAATCACGTTAAAAGAGTAAAGCGGATCGTCAACATGTCTTTAGTAATGTGATAATGTGAAATGTTTCACTTACTGCATTCATTCCCTTCAGAATTTATAGTGAGCTAGAGCGAGTGGAAAGCTGTGAAGAATTCAAGTTACACTGATTTACAAGAGTAAGACTGCACTGTTCTATGGACATGTTACCTAAACACACATGTAACTTACAATGAAATGTCAATATAGGAATTACTGGTATACTTCCACAAAGATATTTAAGCCTTGTGACTGTTGAATGTCTATTTCAGGACGAGATGGTTCCAAGCTTGTGTTAAGCAAATGGAAGATGGTTCATATCTATGATTAATCATTACAAAAATATACCTCACCTAGCTCTTAGAATATTGTCCTTTCACCACATTCAGCGTAGATGATTCCTATTTGTATGGCCATTCTCTGTATGTAGGTAGCGAACGTATTGCTCTCTGCCCCTTTAAGACAGGCATGGCAGTCCCACTTGACTGTGGCTTGCAGCAGTAGAAAGCACAAGCAATGAATTATTCAAACTATCAACTGCTAACAGTTCAAATGGTGTGAAACTCACAAGCGTTTAAGAAGCATATTTTTTCTAAATATTACCTTTCTGCTGCTGTCAATGTCATATCGTTAATATATTTATGACGTATTCACTCATCAAAGTGCATAAAGATAACTCACTCTCCGCCCCATTCCAAATCACTTATTTCAAACAAAGTCTCTCCACTGTTGCATAGCCTATTCCACCTATCCAGAACTCATCAATCACAACACTTATTGACCATGTTTGAAGACATTACAATATGTTGTATGAATAATCATAATTTATACATTAAATTCCTCAAGACTTAACACATCAAAAAGGAATTTGACTAAGTCATGGAGTTAATGATGCTAGTTTCATTGTGCATGCATGCAGTTGAAAAACTTCAAAGTTACTCAATTGAAATGTGATACCATTTGATTATTTGTCGACTACTGTGATGCAAATGGATTGTTGCACACTGATATGACAACCTTTAACACTGTAGTGAAAAGGGGCAAGTGTAACAGTGAATATTATCCTACCCTATTTTTTATCCCGGGGATGAAATTCTCTAGTGTCAGGATGATTCTCCCAAGTGAATTTGAACCCATACCAGTGTGGCACTAAGGTAGGATACTATACTCTAGACTAAAACTTCCCCCAGGAAAATATTTAGGTAGGATATAATCCTTGCTTACACAAGTACCCTCATCACTTGTTTGTTGTTCATGTTGTGTGGCTGTATGCAATTCATACACATTATTTAGTGTGGCATACAGTAATGGGAAACTACAGATGTCCATGCTACATACAATGAATGTGTAATACCAGTCATATAGCAGTGTTCCTCTC